CTACTAGGTATAAAAGTATACCTTATATTCTATAAAAAGCTTTTAGAACTAGTATTCTAAGACGCTAAACTAGCTAAGAATATTAAACTTAAGAACGATAAGTATATAGTTGAGTTAGTTAAGAACCTACGGAAAAATAGTTGTTAGTAGAAATACTTAGTTAAGTAGTAAGAATGGCCTAATAGCTAAAATACTTAGGAATGAGAAGAAAACTTAATAAACTATAAGGAATTAATACGAGCGTATTATAGATAGTATCTGGAGAGAAGAGGGCTAGGCTCTTAAAGGAAAGGAAGTAATTAAAGGATAAAGGATTAAAAGAATTAGCCTATAACCCGCCTAGATTAGCTAATAGTTTAGATAGTGGTAGTGTCCGTGAAATAGAAAGGCCTATACTACTAGAGGCTAAGCTCCTCTTAGCCTACTCTTTCGTACGATTTTAGACAGCGATTATTGTAAGATTATAACGCGTAAAGGCGCGCTCTTTACTCTTTACCTCTAAAAGTTCACGACGTAAACGAGACGCCTCCGTAGTAGCTAGAGCCTAACGCTTCTTAGCTTAAGCTACTTCTAACTCTTTCTACTTACGCTCTTATTAAACTTATTCCTACTCTTTCTTAGAAATAAATAAACTATACTTAGCGCTAACTAAGATATAACCAGCGTAACGCCTAGAAGACGTCTTAACAAAGTAACGAAGCTTCTTCTCTTTATAGCGCTTATAATAAAAGTTTATCTCTAAACTCTTCTATTCTACTTATATAGTATAAGTACGCTTCTGCTTAGTTAAAGTTTTAAGACGAGAGGTACGTAGCTTTTAGACTTTAGGTATAGTTAGAAAGGCTAGAGTTAGAAAGAAATAGATATAATAGCCTAGAGCCTACTAACCTTATATATAGCTAACGCTTTAACACGCAGTATAGGAAAATAATAACCTAGGGTATTAAGATAATAGCTCTAAAGGGGGAGATAATATTACAAGTAATAGTAAGAAGGATTCTCTTCCTAGGTATAACGGTGAATAATCAAGAAGCTACTTAGAATACTAATAAGAAGAATCGCCGCGGGGCTTAGGATCACATAACTTAGCATCTTACTAAGAAGGGACATCTCGCTAAGAAGGCAGATACTATAATATCTAGAGATATTAGGGATATCTAAAGCATCTCTAGATGCTAGGACATTTAGGAGATATTACAAATATTAGAACTAGAAGTAACGAAGATATAAGGATAAATAGATTTCATTATTACTCTCGTTATAGTTAACTTAAATTATACTTTCTTACTAGTTACTTAACTTTATAAGATTAATACTTATTAGTCTATTTAATATAGATTAGAAATTATTAAACCTATTATTATCTATCTTATAAGCACACCACTCTACTATATCGCCAGACAACTACCTCACGGAGCTATTCACCTGCCCTGCTCGCTCTAACCCGGATTAAGTTAAGAGAAGTATCAGCATCCCACCCCGTGTAACAAATAACACCTAGACGCTCGTACCAAGGCCTACTAGCTATCTAGTTCTTAAAGGTCGTTAAATACTCAACTAAAAATACTAACAAAACAACGACTATATATTTAAAGCTCGTTAGGTAGCAAAAGGATTTTAATAAGAATTTAGCGTTAACTATTAAGAAACGTTCGCCAATACTACTAGGCCTAATCTTATCAGATTGCTACTAGCAATAGCTACAGCTTAAGACTAGATTATTCAAAGCTAGAATATTAAACAAGCTTTCCTAAATGCTCTTATTAATACCACGATATTTATTAAGCAACTAGAAGGATTTTCAGATCTATAATACCCTTAGCACGTCTACCTACTTAATAATGCACTATACGGATTAAAACAAGCCAGTAGACAATAGCAGAAACTACTAGTAAGCCTACTAGGCCAACTAGAATTTTAATCTCTATCTATTAATACAGCCATCTATATTAATTGCGATTAGAAGATTATAATCGCTACTTACGTAGACGATCTACTTATTTTTAGAGAAAATAAGTAAAAGATCAAGAATCTATTCCGCGATCTATCAGATATATTAGATCTAGAGATCAAAGATCTAGGTAATATATCTAAGTTTCTTAGTATCTAAATTATTAGATTAGATCAATTAATCTATATTACCCAAGAGAGCTATCTTTAAAGGCTACTTATCCGTTGTAATAAAAAGAACGACAAACTAAAGCAAATACCTCTTTAATATAGCACAAAGCTTAGTAAAAACGATTAGACAGCGATAACAAAAGATACTAATCTATTTTAATAACAAATTAGCTCTCTAATCTACCTATCTACTTTCACTCAGCTAGATATTAGTTACACAGTTAATCTTCTATCTAGATTTATAGCCAATCCAAGTCCAGAGCATTTTAGCAGTCTTAATTACCTCTAGAGATATCTATCTTAATTAAAGAAGATCAGACTACTCTACCAACTTAATGCTAGCTCTTAAGCTAGATCTATCAAGTTAGATTAATCTATATTAGTTAGATTAGATTAGATTAAGCTAATCGGATCCACGGATGCAGATTAGGGCGGCGATCTTAACAGTCGAAGATCTATAATAGAATATATATTTTTACTTTAACTAAATAAGAACTACTATACGATTTTATAGCTATTAAAGCTATAACTAATAGTGGCTCTATCGAGCGCAAAAGCCGAATTCATAGTATATCGCGAATCAACTAAATAGAGTATTTATCTAATTGTTACACGGGGTAAGAGTCTATACTTCTCTATTCTAGTCCGCACTAAGGCAGGTGAGTATTACGTTAGTGTTCCGTAAGGCTTATCTGGCGATGCAGTGGAGTTAGCGTGCTTAAGGAGGGTTTAACAAGACTAATCTATTTAATAGACTAACTTATAATAATCTTATTAAGTAAAGATACTAGTAAGAAAGTACAATTTAAGTTGACTACAACGAATATAATAATAAAATCCAACCCATTCTTATATCTATTACCTTTAGTCCTGCTATCCCTTACTTCTCTACCATCCCTAGGATAGTTATAATATTAGGGATGGCTGCTATCTTAAGGCGTCCTACTATCTCTTAGATGGTTGCTCTTAGTGGGATAGTATATTACGTAACCTAGCCCCGCGATAATTATTACCTTCTAACGTAGACGTCTATAGGCCTTTAGCTATCTCGTTATTTATTAAGGAGAGAATTCTTCTTATTACTTATAATATTAGCTCCCCTCTTAGAGCTATCGTTCTAATACTCTAGACTATTATTTTCTCGTACCGCGTGTTAAGACGCCGGCTGTATATAAGGTTAGAGCCCGTTCACTTATTATAGCCGTCTCTATCTTATAGTCTTCTTAACTATACCTAAGGTCTAGCCTGTTCGCTAATCTTAAAAGTACACTTTAACTAAGGAGCGCTAATATCGTACCTTAAAAGTAGAGAGTACTTATTTAGAAATAGTTACTAAGTGTGATCGTTATAAGGAGAAGGGTCTACGTTATTTCGTTAATATAGCGTCTAGGTAGTGTGCGGATTATATTACTATAAAGGCGGAGTATAGTTTTTTTATTTCTAATAAAGATTAGGAGAAAGTTCAGCGAGAAAAGCGTTAGAAGCGTCTTAAGATTGCCTAATTAGAGGCGTAATTAGCTTAAAGAAAGGTTAAGCTTCTAGAGGCTAAGAAGTAAAAGCACTTGTTTACTAATTGCGATTTAGTAGTACTAAAAGAGTTAGAGCGCGTAAAAAAGCAGATCGCGAGGAGTTCGGCCCCTAGTACTAATCCTCCTGCTATCGAACTATTGCTATCTAGACTATTAGCTAATCTAGGCGGGTTATAGGCTAATTACTACAATCCTTCTTTTAACTATTTTTTCTCTTTAAGGGGCTGCCCCTCGCTTCTCTAGATACTTCTAGTAGTATTCTTGTACTAGTGACTTATAGTTTATTAGATTTCCTTTAGGTTCCTAAGTATTATAGCTCTTAGGCCATCCTTACTACTTAACTAAGTACTTCTACTAACTACTAATTTTCCGTAGGTTCTTAATTTTCTTGACCTTGTACTCGTCGTCTTTAAGCTCTATATCTATTGCTAGCTTAGTATCTAGAGATACTAGTTCTAGAAGTTTCTTATAAAAGATAGGGTAGATTCGTATACCTTATAGGAGTTTTAACTTATAGTTTACTTTTTCTATTTCCTCTAGAATTTTAAATAGTCCTATTTAGAGGTTATCTAATTTTCTATATAGTCGTTTAGTTTTTAGGTTTTATCTTAATAAGAAAACTTTATCCCCCTTCTTAAAGGTTAGTCTCTTAATTCTTAGTTTATTCGCTACCTTAGATATTGTAAGGTTTCGCTAAGCTATATTCTTACTTAATTCTTTATATAATTCTTATATAAGCTTCGCTTTATCGTCTGCTTCTACCGCGATACTTTTAATATCCTTTAGATCCTAATAAGTAGTTAGCTTATATCTGTAGTTCGCGTAGTACGGTAAATGTTTTATCGTTACTAATTTTATACTGTTATAGGCTAATTACGCTGTTAGTAGTAGTTCTATCTAGTTATTCTATAACTTATTAGCGTATATCTATAGATACTATTCTAATATCTAGTTCGTTCGTTCCGTCTAGCCGTCTATTTCTAGGTAAAAGCTTATTAAAAGCTTCTTCTTAATACTTAACTTTACTAGGAATATACTCTAGTATTTAGACGTAAATAGTTTATTATAATTAGTAATAAACTCTTTAGATATCTTATACTTTAATACTAGTGCCTTTATAACCTCGTACGCGCATTTATCTACTATAATAGTCTCTTCTATAAGTATAAATTTTACTACCTTAGTTAGTTAGTCTATGATTACTAGAATTATATTATAAAATTAAGCTAATCTTAGTTCTAATGATCTTAAGAGCTTTACTATAAAGTCTATTATTACGCTTATCTATAGTCTAGATAGTAGCTATAGAGGTTATAATAGGCTATAGAGCTTATATCTCTTAGGCTTGTTCTAGTAACATACTAAATAATTACCTAGTATTTTCTGCACCTTCGCTCGCAAGCGTAGTATTATAAATACCTTAGCTAGTTGTCTAACTATTTCGTCCACTCCTGCGTATCTATATTCTAGGGACTCGTATAGAGTCTTAATAAGTTTAGTTCTTATATATAGGGGTATATACGTGCTTATATATTCTCTTAGAGCTTTAAGCTCTTTCTTATTATTTATTACTTCTAGCGGGTAGGGGTCCGTTTCTAACGCCCATAACGTTGCTTTTTCCTACTATTATTTCTATAGTATTTCTACTTACTTAGCTACCTTAGCTATCTTAGCTAGTTCTAGCTAGTTATACTTTAGACTGCTATTAGGTATTGTCTTAAGTAAGGCGTTATATAGTTCTTTATAACCCTCTTCGCGTAAATTAGATCTTCTACTTAAAGCGTCTGCTACTCTATTAAGCGTCTCTACGCGGTGCGTGATCTTAAAGTTGAACTAGGCTAGTATCTCTACCTATCGTACTTATTATTAGTTAAGTTTTTTTATTATTATAAAACTCGTTAAGTTCTAGTAATTAGTAAAAACCTTAATCTATTTAGAGAGTTCTAGTAGGTACACATTCTATTATTTAAAGGTATTAACTACTCTAAGTAGTTCCTTATCGTGAATATTGTAATTAAGTTCTACTTCTAAGAACTTCTGTAAATAATAGAATACTAGTCTCTATTTTCTATCTACGCACTATTATAACAACACAGCTCTAAGTACATAGTTAGACGCGTTAGTCTCGACTCTAGTAGGTCGTTAAGAACTATATATCTTAAGTACTAGTACCTCTAGAAATATCTACTTAATTTAATTAAAAGCCTTCTAATATTTCTATTCTTATTTAAAACCTACTTCCTTCTTCGATACTTCTATAAGGGGTGCTGAAATCTTTAAGTAATTCTTAATAAACTTCTGATAGTAATTCGCGAATCCTAGAAAGGACTAAATATTCTTAACTATTTTAAGTATTAGCTATTTCTATATAGTCTATATCTTCGTTAGATTTATTTTTACTTCTTTAGTTAATATAATAAATCTAAGAAACTCCGTTTCCTATATGTAGAATTTACACTTTCCTAGTTAAAGGTATAGCTTATATTCTTTAAGCTTTCGTAGAACCTTCTTAATATACTTAATATATTCTTCGCGTGTACCGCTAAAGTATACTAGTATATTATCTAGATACGCGGTAATAAAGATTCTAAGGTACTTATAAAGTGCATTATTAATTATTAATTAAAAAGTTACTAGCGTATTTATTAATCTAAACGGTATAACTATATACTTAAAGAGTCCGTACTTTATTTTAAACTCTATTATCTATTTGTAACCTTCTTTAATTCTAATTTAGTAAAATTCTTCTTAAATATTAAACTTTATAAACTACTTAGCTCCCTAAAGTTAATCTATAAGCTCTATAATAAGTAGTAGAGGATATTAGTTCTTCTAAGTAATACTATTTAACCTTCTAAAGTTAATATATAGTTGCTACTTCCTATTAGGTTTCTTTATAAATAAAATAGGTAAGGCCATTAGGCCTAATCCTAGTTAGATAAATCTCTTTTTTAAGTTCTTTTAGATATAATTCTATAGCTTAGTATTATACTTAGGCGCTATAGAGTATATTAGTCCTAGGGTTAACTTAGCTCCCTTATTAAGGATAATCTCGTGATCCTAATCCTAATAGTCTACTAGGTCTATTATCTTATTTTCCTTAAATAGTTCTCTAAACTCGTCCGTTTAGTATTCTATTAAAATCGCTAACTATAGTACTAATTCTTCCTTTGTAGTCGCGATCTACCGTATCTAAATAACTTCTACTCTCTAAGAGTTCTTTATATAAATTCTCGCGATCTTATATAGTAAGATTATACTAAATCTCCCGTTCTAGGTTATGTGCTAATTTATTAGGCGTGTCTTATATTATACTCTAGCAACCTTATATATAGGCTCTTAGCTAAGTAATGTCTTCTTTTACTAGTTAATAGTAGGGTTATACTTTAATAACTAATCGTAGCTAATTATTATCTTAGTCTCTCTAAGATCTATAATACTAATCTTTTCTTAGCTTTCTTAACTAGCTAGGCGTAACGTTACTACCTTAGTCTTAAGTTAGATCTAGCCGTTCCTATATGTCGTAGGACTATCGTCGGCTAATACTACTTATATTAGTACTTTCTTGTTCTAATAGGGTATATTATTTCTTTCTACTACTCGTGGCGATATAATAGTTCGTGCTACTCTACTATCTATAAGCGCTAATACCTTATATCCGTCTATAAGTACTATAGCTTTTAATTATAATTCTTTTACTCCTACTTTCTATACTTATCTAAGAGTCGTTTTAGAACTACCTTTACCAGCGTGACTCTATTCCTAGTAGTATTCTAGTTTTTTAACTACCTACTTTCTTTCTTTTTTAGGAAGTAGCCTTCGCCTATCTTAGTGGAATAGTATATTGTATACTAGTTGTTGTAGCAGAAGCTCTAATAGATATTCTTATAGGGTATCTTTCGTTATATAGTTCTCTTTCTTAGTTCTAGCTTCCTACTCTTATAAATTAGGCAATTCTTTACCTTATAAATATTTGCTAGTAAGGTACTATAGTAGTAGTTATCTACCTATTAAGTATTCTTAAACTATTATTAGTGTATAGCGTATTCTTTCCTGTAATGCGTCTATAGAAGTTTACTATACTCTACTAGCGTTTCCTATACTTAGGCCCTATATATTCTATAGTTCTTTACTATATATTCTTCGGCGGAAATCGTACTATAGTAGTAGTTGTCTACTCTTTTAGCTTTCCGTCGCTATTTCTTATAGAATTAGTAATTAATCGTGTACTTAATTTAGTATAACTCTTTATAAGCTTTCTTTTCTCTAGGCTAGTGTATATAGTAATACTATACGCGACACTCGTTATACTATAAATTAGTATAGTAGTAATTATTCTTATTATCTCTAGTTTTTTCTCGCTTCCTTAAGTAATGATTATACTATCTTAGGCAGTTAACCTAATATAGACGCTCGTGTTGCTCTATCTGTTCCTTAAACGTCTAAGATATCTTCTTGTTATTAGGTTCCTTAAACCTAGGTTATTCCTAGGCAGCCCTGTAGGTAATTTTATCTACTTAGGGTCTTAAGATTATAACTTGTCTATTAATATTATAATTATTAGCTTAATGTATATTAGTTCCGTAAATCTAGTACTATTAGTTTCTTAGGCGGCGTAGTACTTCAGCCCCTTTAATCTACTAATCTATTAGTAGTAGTACGTTCTACTTAAAGTCTTAGAGTCTTATTACCTCTTATACTAGCTTAAAGGCCTTATTAGTAGCTTATCTTACTTCTTCGTATAGGTTTAGGTCGCTAAGAGTTTTATTTAGCTTCTTAGTTAGATATAGTATTAGTATCTAAATTATCCTAATCTTAACTACTTCTTATCTAACTTTGTTTTTTAGGTAATCTCTACAGAAGTATCCTACTTTACTATATTAGAGACATACCTTACTATTATAACGCTTCTTGCGTTCTTCTGTAGAGAGTCCGTTATTATACTATCCTTAGAGTTTTCTATTCTTATTCTTAGACTTATCTTATACCTTACTAGTCATGATAGTATTACTATTCTTATCGAACTAGCTACGCTATTTTCTTATGTTAGCTATTACTAGCTAGAATTATTTTCTTTATTAGTTTCTTTTCTATAGTCTATTATTAATGCGTGTCGCTAACTTAATTAGCGTATAAAGCGTGTTTAGTTTGTTATAATATATAAGTCCGTCTTTAATATTTTTCTTTAGACCTACTTCGAATACTATTTAAAGTGCTGCGTTGTTCTAGTTAATTCGTACCTATAGCTACTTAAACTTGGCTATATACGCTAATACTAAACTAGTCTACTTTAGGCGAGTTATCGCTTTCTCTACCTAGTTCTAAGCATCCACTTCCCTAAAGATATGTCCTATCTCTTTCTTAAACTCGGCCTAACTAGTAAATAAGGCATATATCTCGTTCTTTGTTCCTCTTTTTTTAATATCTAATAGGTAGTCCTCTATATATAGCTGCATCTAGCTTAACGCTCGTCCCTTTATATAGGTGCTGGCTATAAAGATCTTTTTCTAGTTATTAGGTACTTCGTTAAATTTATAATATAAGTTAATATTAGTAAGAAATATCCGCAACTTAGTGCGACTTCCATCGTACTTTTCTAGGGTTGCTATTTTTAGCTTCTTAAGTAGTTTCTTGTTTAGGGTGGCCATTAGTTAACCTATAAGTTAGTTAATTATATTCTATAACTTAGCTATCTGCCTTACTTAGGCTTAGCTCTCGTATCTAAGATTAATGAGTTCGTACTTAGGGCTCCTTACCGCTAGCTTGTTATTTCCCTCTTAGGTACTACTAGTTATATTAACATCTCTCTTAGGCGCCGAGCCTAGGATGTGAATATATTCGCTTAAATTTCCTAATATAGTTTAATCTTATTCAGACGCTGCTAGTTAATCCTCCTTCTACTAGATCTGTAGGTAGTTAGAGTGTTACATAGGGTAAGAGTCTATACTTCTCTATTCTAGTCCGCACTAAAGTAGGTAAGTATTACGTTAGTGTTCTGTGAGGCTTGTCTGGCGATATAGTGAAGTTAGCGTGCTTAAGAAGGGTTTAATATAACTAATCTATTTAATAGACAAACTTATAATAATCTTATTAAGTAAAGATACTAGTAAGAAAGTATAATTTAAGTTAACTATAACGAATGTAATGATGAAATCCAACCTATTCTTATATCCGTTGCCTTTGGTCCTGCCATCCCTTACTTCCCTACCATCCCTAGGATAGTTATGATATTAAGAATAGCTGCTATCCTAAGGCGTCCTACCATCCCTCGGATAGTTGCCCTTAGCGGGATGGCACATCACGTGACCTAGCCCCGCGATAATCATTACCTTCTGACGTGGACGTCTATAGGCCTTCAGCCATCTCGTCATTTGTCAAGGAGAGAATCCTTCTTATTACTTATAACACTAATCTAATTCATTAAAGAGATTAAACAACTATTTAATATACTATCAGATAGAACTATTATAATATACTCTAACAGCCAGAGTGCGATCCAGCTATCTAAAAATCCCACCTACCACGCCAGAACTAAACAT